AAATAACATAAAATAACCCATTAGAGTCGCCTGGTTGGATGCGGTAACAACTCTGATAACTCATAACATATAATGTGATATATAAAGATAGATTCCACTACATGAAAGGTGTTAGGTCCCTTGTTTGAGGGGAGGATTGTTAGGATACAAACAAGTCTCACATCCACTACATGAAAGGTGTTAGGTCCCTTGTTTGAGGGGAGGATTGTTAGGATACAAACAAGTCCCACATCGATAAAATAAGAGAAAAAATAATAACTTATAAAGCACACACATACTCCAATGTTAGAGAGACCTTTTGGATGATGACCAAAAGCAAAACTGTGAGGGCTTAAGCTCAAAGCGGACAATATCTCATCATTGTGGAGTATGCTTATGTAATAACCTTATAAAAATAACCTCATAAAATATTCCTTCAGACAAACACCATAAAATAACTCTAACACAGACTTGGATCAACAACATTTATGACCTATGTCATTGCCATTGAGTTTGCCTTCTCCCAATTTGGGTAGCCCCCTAATTTGATCGTTGGTTTCTTGGTAGACCCATCTATGAATCCAAGCTTCATCTTTGCATGCAATGCAGTCTTCATCACACGAGCCCATGCCTTGTAGTTGGATCCTTTCAGAACTATTGCAACAAGAGGCGTCCTTGGTTGTCAAAGAACAAGGTAGAATACTGGATTTTGAGTGAGATTAGATGATTGTTTGTCATCATTGGAGGCACGATCCTTATCAATTTTATCCTGTAACTATCGACCTTCTTTGATGCTATAAAGAAATTCAATCTAATCATTTGATTTCTTGGATATCAATTACAATGATGAGATGTGTCGTAACCGGGATCACGACGGGATGACGCTAACATTTCTTTTCTAATGGAGTCGCCACCAATATTTTATTTCAAGGGAAAAACATTGGAAAACCCTTTAAAAGATAATCTTTAAAATTAAAGTTGGGTTCGGGAGTCGATTACATGTAGGGAAGGTATTAGCACCCTACAACGCCCGTAAAAACAGTACCTTTAATTAATTGCGCAAAATTATATAAATTTATAAACATTTATTTTATTCCTCAAAAAGGTGTATACATATATATATATATATATATATATATTTATTTATTTATTTATTTATTTTTTAATATGAGAGATGTTTCTTTTGTATATTTTTTAATTAAAAAATAACATCATAAGGATTTAGGTTAGCAAATGACTAATCAATAAACCCTCCCAATAACATGAAAGATAGAACTGCTATTCAATCAAATGCTATTGATCTTTATTTGTTGATAATAAAAGATTTACATGATATTAAAGGGTAGAAATGCTACTCAATTAATATCATTAATCATAAAAATAATGTATACGTAAAGCAAAATTATGTTTATATTTTTATATTTTTATCTAAAGAAATAGATTTTGCATAAGGATTCAAGTTAGCAAATGGCTAATCAATAAATCCCTCCAATAACGTTAAAAATAGAAGTGTTACTTAATTAACGTTATTGTTTGCAACATATCTTTATTTTTTTTAAAAGAACAAATTTGTTAAGGAGAGTTTAAGCTAGCAAATGACTAGTCATTAAACTCCTAGGACCTAATAATGTTAAAGATAAAAATGTTATTCACTTAACATTATTATTGGTCGTATATTAAATATTTTTATAAATAATAATCTTAAAGGAAAAAAATCATATTCACTATGTACAAACAATAAACAAAAATAAATAAATAAATAAACAAAAAATAAATGAAAAAATAAAATAAACAAATAAATAAAAGAAAGAAGAAAAAAAGAGTTAAGAAAAGAACGATACCAAATGAGATAAATCTTCGAATATGATGATCAAGAAGGTGCTTTTTGACTACTTTTCACACTACAGAGGTGTCTTACAGATCTCAAGAAATACAAAAGAGAGGGAGGAGAGAGAGAAAAAAAATTCGAGCTCTAAAGAGTACTGGACGAAATTTTTCGGGGCCTGAAAATTGTGCCCAACGCGTCTATTTATAGACCTCAGACCTGACCAGAACGGCCCGTTCCGAAATCGGAACGGGCCGTTCTGGATCATACCGTTACAAGCAAAATGTGACTCTGGAACGACCCGTTCTAAAATCAGAACGGGCCGTTCTAAACGTGCAACGGGCCGTTCTGAAATTTGGAACGGCCCGTTCCACGTAAGGAATTTTAGATCCTTTCAGTCACTTAGAACGGCCCGTTCCCATCTTAGAACTGCCGGTTCTAAAGTAGTTTTGTTGTGTTTTTTTCTAGCGTGGAACTGCCCGTTCCGAATTTGGAACGGCCCGTTCTGGGTTACAAACTTTTGTTTTTTTTTCACTCTTTTTTTTTTTCAAACTGTCTTGTTGTCATAAGGTGTAGCCTACATACTTTGGGAGCTCCTCCTTTTCATAATAGATGTGCATTTCATTATTTTTGTGAGGCTGGATAAAATTTATTGTTCACAAGATGTCTTTTATAATTAGAAATAACTAAAATATAAACTATCCTAACAACAAAGCTAACAAACTATCCTAATTGAAAATATCTTTTCTGTTAATATAAAGCTAATATAAAACACAACAAATTATCCTAATAGAAATAAGTAATGAAATCCAATGTTATCAAAATTATCATCTATTAATTACTGAATCAAATCAAGTTAAACCAAGTTCAACTCGAATAAACTCATTTCTAGGTTAATTATGAATTTTATGATTTGTAGGGCTTCTTCAATAATTATTCATAATGCATCCAATTTCGGGTTCAAGGATCATCCTTGTTTGGCCTCTTAGTCCAAAAAGAAAAAAATGTACCTATTCAACATCAAAGTTATGATTAGGACATTTTTTTTAAAAAATAAAGATTTATACTTTTCCCATGCGTCGAGCAAGTCTTAACCTTTTTTATTTTTATTTTTTATTTTTATAATTATTATTAATGAAAGTTAGAGATTAATTGGCCTTTCCTATAGAGAAAGAGAGTGAGGGAAGGAGCAAGAGATGAATCGAGTAATCAATCCATCCTAGGTAGTAATGACTATATGCTGTTAAGTTTGGAGTCACTCCTTAGCATCATCCCTCGAAGTGAAGGGAAATAGCCTTATCTTAAAGTTCTTATCAAGTATGTCTTGAAACTTCACTATCTCACAATTCTCTAATAAGTTGATGTGAGTATTAGGATCAATGCAACTTCTTTTAAAATTTTTAGATTCTTCTGGAGAATAAGGACGGATCTTCCGCAGGGATATCTATCGTGATACAGTAACTTGAAACAATCATTAAACCTTTCCATAGTTTCTTTAGTTGGTCGACTATGACCTATGAATAATTGATCTCTCAAATAATTCACACACTTTCATTAGTGGAAGATGAATTATTTGCACAATATCCTTATCTACCTTTTGGCAGCACTAAGTAGCTTTTAGCCAAATAAGTGGGCAAGCGTTAAGTAAAACATGCAAATTAACCTATATAATGCCTAAATTATTTATCTACAATTGTATATAAAAGTTATATATATATA